TTCCGTCATCTTGTCTCGTTTTTCTCGAACTAGTTTCAGCTCGATTTCCTCTTTTCAGTAATGAATGCCACCGATGATCGCCTTGACGAAGTTATTGCTGGCATCATAATGGGGGTGGTATGTAAGCTTTGCAATCCTAAATTGCAAGTAACCTATAAATGACTTCAACAGATTGGTACCTTTGGTATAGTTGTGAATATAACGGTAGTCTATCTTATCTATCACACACCTTCATTTCACCATGCATTCGGCTACATTTGCGCTTCGCATCTGCTGGCTGATGTAGGATTATTGACAGCTTTCTTATTTTGGGCTACTCCCGCATCAGTAATGTGAGTTTCACAACTTTTCTTCCCTCAAAGATTATTCTAATGAGATCATACCTGTTCTGCAGTGGTCTACCGCAAACGGTTACTGATTCTTTGGCTGGAAAGAAAATAGGACAGTATTCAATGCTTTTTTGGTATGCATCTATGTACGGGCAGCTGCAATTAGCAATCAATCGATTGGCATCTATTCTTACTCCTATACATTACAAGTAAGTTGACTACTGAATCTTTTTCTAAAGTGCGGTAAAGGGCTAGCCTCATTTCAATTCAACGAGTCGTGGTTTTCCATCGAGACTAATTGAGAACATGACTTCCTTTTTGTTTCGAGGTTCTTTACCAAAGAAAAGCACTTAGAGCGCTTTGTACCCTTAATGAATCTTGAAACAAGCTAAGGTTTTACCCGAATATCGAATAGGGTGCAAGATCAAAGTACAAGAGCACAAATCTGGAGCGCATATATATTCTACTTTTCGCTTTCATTCAAAGTAAGGCAAACTAATCTAGCCGTCCAAACAAACATTGATCTTTTTTGAAAAATTTTATAGCTCTCTATATTTTGATTCTTTGAGTCAAACTGGAAGCAGCCGAAGGAAAACGAAGTCCTAGGAAGTGCTGAAGGGATCTTTGCGAATACCACGTAGAGCTAGCTAAGAAGACGAGACTTTAACTTCTTCCCGATATATAAAGGAATCTATCGCGAAGAACTTCTACAGCAACTTCTTCCGCTCATCAACACCCATGCCGATTCCCGTTGTTCCCACTGAGAAAGTACCACCACGAATTCTACTTGCTGAAGTGCGTATCGCGATACAGACCATGA